CCCCAAGATTTCTACCCTGCCGCAACTCCAGGTATTGTGCGAACATGAATTAATTGTTTCCGAGCAGAATTCAAAGTGTTGGTTCTGACCTTGAAAGCCCTAAACGGCCTTGGTCCAGTATATCTGAAGGAGCGTCTCCACCCCCATCATTCAGCCCAGACACGGAGGTCCAGCTCGGAGGGCCTTCTGGCAGTTCCCTCATTGCGAGAAGCCAAGTTACAGGGAACCAGGCAGAGGGCCTTCTTGGTAGTGGCGCCCGCCCTGTGGAATGCCCTCCCACCAGATGTCAAAGACATAAACAACTATATGACATTTAGAAGACATCTGAAGGCAGCCCTGTTTAATAATAAAAATAAATAAATAAAATTTTATTTATACCCTGCCCTTCCTGCTTCAAAAACTGGGCTCAGGGCGGCTAACAACAAATTTAAAACACTTAATTATAAAAGCAGCATAAAATACAGTATAAAAACATGAATAACAATAAAATTTGAGGTTCAGAAATCAATTTAGGGGAAATCCATCTAATAAACATTTAGGGAAGTTTTTAATGTTTGAAGTTTTATTCTGTTTTTAATGTTCTATTGAAAGCCGCCCAGGGTGACTGGGGAAACCCAGCCAGATGGGCAGGGTATAAATAATAAATTGTTATTGTTATTGTTATTAATCACATTCCATTTCCTCCAGGAAGCTTAAAGCAATTGCCTGTCTCTGTTTTGCCCTCTGCGAGGTAGGCTAGGCTGAGAGGTCGCAACTGGCACAGGGAGCTTAATGAGTGAAGGATCTGAACCCGGGTCCCCCTAATCTTATGGCCTGGACCCCCCCCCCCAATAACCCAAAAGCCTAAAAGAACTTCAGGCTGTATGAGAAAAACGTAATTGTTTCACCAGGTCACAGATTTACTTTGGACGCTGCAGTGGGTGGAAAGGCCCTTGGATGCTCTGTGTTCACACACACCTGTGCACCCACCTGAGAGAGAGTGTGTGTTGCTTAGCAACTGGTCCATGAGGGGTTGCTGCCCTCTTCTGGAAGCAGAGGCTAATGGCAAGAGGGACTCGGAAGGTCTGGGCATTTAGAGACAGAGTTGGATATTAATTAATGTTCTTGTTAGTTTTAGATTTAATTTGAGGGGGCAGACGGGGCTCCCTCAGAAGGTGGTGGACTCCTTCATGGAACGTTTTAAATCAGAGGTTGGATGGTTCATCATTTTACTTGTTTGCTGCTAAAACCATGCTCAAGGCAGCCCGCAACATGAAAAGACTGACATAATTACAAACATAACAAAGTACTCATAAACAATTAAAAAAAAACATTAAAAGTACAGCGGAGAGGGGGGTTATTGTTTGGTTTTGGTCTTGTCTTTATTATGTATTTTGTGTTTTTATCTTATGAACCGTTGCCCAAAGATCTGTGGATGAAGGTATACAAATTTAACTTATATGCAGAATTCATCATGCGAAAGGCTGGGCTGGATGAATCCCAAGCCGGAATTAAGATTGCCGGAAGAAATGTCAACAACCTCAGATATGCAGATAACACAACCTTGATGGCAGAAAGTGAGGAGGAATTAAAGAACCTTTTAATGGGGGTGAAAGAGGAGAGCACAAAATATGGTCTGAAGCTCAACATCAAAAAAACGAAGATCATGGCCACTGGTCCCATCACCTCCTGGCAAACGGAAGGGGAAGAAATGGAGGCAGTGAGAGATTTTACTTTCTTGGGCTCCATGATCACTGCAGATGGTGACAGCCATGACAAAATTAAAAGACACCTGCTTCTTGGGAGAAAAGCAATGACAAACCTAGACAGCATCTTAAAAAGCAGAGACACCACCTTGCCCACAAAGGTCTGTATAGTTAAAGCTCTGGTTTTCCCAGTAGTGATGTATGGAAGTGAGAGCTGGACCATAAAGAAGGCTGATCACCAAAGAATTGATGCTTTTGAATTCTGGTGCTGGAGGAGACTCTTGAGAGTCCCATGGACTGCAAGAAGATCAAACGTATCCATCCTTAAGGAAATCAGCCCTGAGTGCTCACTGGAAGGACAGATCCTGAAGCTGAGGCTCCAAGACTTTGGCCACCTCATGAGAAGAGAAGACTCCCTGGAAAAGACCCTGATGTTGGGAAAGATTGAGGGCACAAGGAGAAGGGGAGGACAGAGGATGAGATGGTTGGACAGTGTTCTGGAAGCTACAAACATGAGTCTGACCAAACTGCGGGAGGCAGTAGAAGACAGAAGTGCCTGGCGTGCTCTGGTCCATGGGGTCACGAAGAGTCGGACACGACTAAACGACTCAACAACAACAAATAGTGAGATGAGAGATCTCTGTGTCTCTGGGCAAAGAGGGTGGGGAAAAGGCCATTAGCCCCCAACTCTTAGCTGTCGCTCCTGCAACCTGGCTCAGTCTTTGGGGCTGGCGATGGGGACATTTCTGTGGCCAGCTGAGGTCCTTGTCTGAAGAAGAGACTTGCCCAACCAGTTCAGCCACTTCATCCTTTAGATCCTGACCTTCACAGCATACAGGACCCCAATAATTGGGAAGGGCTCAGGGCTTCACCCAGACCCAAGCGGCACACTGGCACGATTAATGGGTAAAAAAAGAAGGAAAAATGAAAACCAGTAAAAAAAGATTTGCCCAAAAAAGGTGACTTATACTCAGAATCGAGAGTGGATTTCATGCTCTTTATTCAGCTCATAGTGGTGAGGAGGAATGGACGTTCCCCCAGAATGTCTGTTTTATATACATTATTTGCTTAATGGGCCCCATGTGATTGGCAAATTCCGGGATTCACCTGTAGGCCAATCATGTTGCGGATTCACTTCTACCTGAAGTTGGATTGTGTGGCTCCTGCGGACCAATCAGACTGCTGCATTCTGGACCCTATTGTTCTAGGACCAATCAGACTGCTGCCTTTTGGATCCTATTCAACTCAGTACATAACAGAAGGGGAAATTCCCCAGGGACGCAAGGGGATGGCTTTGTGGGGGTCTGTGTGCAGCTGTCTTGCTTTCATCCAAGGCAGAGGGGGCCCCCAGCTCTCCATTTCAGTGACTAAGCACCCCTGAGCAGCTGCAGGAGGCTGGCAAGGAGGTTAAACCGGCTGACCGGGAGGATTCCTGCTTTGCCCTTTTGATCAGCAGGGACCAGTCTTGGCTGGGGGGGGGGGGAGACTTTTTCCACCTGTTCCTTGGAGAGGAGGGATCCTTTGCACCCGGATCCTCAATTCCTTTGCAACCTCAAGGATTGACAGCTGCCGTGTGCTTGACATGGGAAGACAGGCTATCTGGAGCTCCCAGCCACAGCGGCCACGCTCCCCTCCCACCAGAGGCTGCGATAGAAGGCTCATTCCTCGCCATTTGCAGCCACTGCCCCCTTGGCCTCCAAACGTCTCCCTGCAGCTCATCAAAGTCTGGCCTGTATTTATTTCACATAATCAATCAACGAAAAACACACTAAGCGGTCTGCATAAAGCAATATAAAACAAATGGTGTTTTTCTTTATTTGCAATATATCTCAGCCATAAACAGTGATTCATATAATGATGATGATGATTATAATAATAATAATAATAATTTATAATAATTTATTTACACCCCACCCATCTGGCTGGGCTTCCCCAGCCACTCTGGGCAGCTTCCAACAAAACATTAAAATACAATAATTCATAACAAAACATTAAAATGCAGTGGTATCTCGGTTTAAGAACTTAATTCAATCTGGAGGTCTGTTCTTAACCTGAAACTGTTCTTAACCTGAAGCACCACTTTAGCTAATGGGGCCTCCTGCTGCCGCCGCGTGATTTCTGTTCTCATCGTGAAGCAAAATTCTTACCCCGAGGTACTATTTCTGGGTTAGCGGAGGCTGTAACCTGAAGCGTATGTAACCTGAGGTACCACTGAACAATAATTCATCAGATATTAAAAGCTTTCCTAAACACTGATTTATTTTTTACAACTCTCCCACCAGAAGTACCCAGTGTCTCTTTAGTTACATTCAATTTTAAGTCATACAAAGGTAAAGGTAAAGGTAAAGGTAAAGGGACCCCTGACCATTAGGTCCAGTCGTGGCCGACTCTGGGGTTGCGGCGCTCATCTTGCTTTACAGGCTGAGGGAGCTGGCATACAGCTTCCGGGTCATGTGGCCAGGAGGACTAAGCCGCTTCTGGCAAACCAGAGCAGCGCACGGAAACGCCGTTTACCTTCCCGCCGGAGCGGTACCTATTTATCTACTTGCACTTTGACGTGCTTTCGAACTGCTAGGCTGGCAGGAGCAGGGACCGAGCAACCGGAGCTCAGCCCGTCGCGGGGATTCGAACCGCTGACCTTCTGATTGGCAAGCCCTAGGCTCTGTGGTTTAACCCAGAGCGCCACCCACATCCCACAAACAGCAAAGTACCAGCACAAACAGTAAAGTACTTGCACTTTGACGTGCTTTCGAACTGCCAGGCTGGCAGGATCTGGGACCGAGCTATGGGAGCTCACCCCATCGCGGGGATTCGAACCGCAGACCTTCTGATCGGCAAGTCCTAGGCTCTGTGATTTAACCCACAGCGCCACCCATTCCACAAATCTCGGCGTGTCCTCGGAGGCCGAGGACCACATTTCTACCGAGAGATGTTGCAGATGCAATAAAACCACGCCAGGTTGATTGAAAAGAGATGCAGCAACTTTTTCTGAAACTCTGCCCAGTGAGGCTCCAGCCTCCATCCCAGAATTTCACGTCCCGGAGAGAGAGAAGCAAACCTCTTGCAGAATGCGCTGGGCCCCTGCTGCCACCCCAGGGATGAACCTGCCTTGCCCTGAGCTCCCTGGAAACAGAAATCCCTCTGGGCCTCCTTTCGCCCTCCAACTGAAGCCAGAGCAGTTCTCGAGGGGCCAAGCAGTTAATTTTAATTATGGGGGTGAGGGAGAACCCGGCCCCCTCTCTCCCTGGAGAGGAAGAGCAGCTGCCTGTCTGCAGTCGAATCCTATTCCTAGCCAAGCACAAGAAACCTCAGCAGCCCGTCTCCAGCAAGTTTGCATTTTGTGTGTGAAATAATTTTTTATTTGATTTTCCAAAATCGAAAACAATTCTAAATCCAAATATTGAATTTACTCTGAATCTCCTGACTCCTCCCCCCCCATCCCTTCCGTGGTCCTATTGAGTCTATTTTCAACTGCGTATCAATACTTCTCCATTTCTTCATCTTCCTAAATCATCTGTGCATTCTGTTAAATTACAAGTGTGTTTAAAATCCTGCTAATGTTTTGACCTGTTTACAATGATTTTGCATCGTGAACATTTCCCATTCTCTTTTTAAAATTTCTTGTCTTCTTGCTTCTGAGCTTCCCAGTTAATTTTGCCATTTCGGCAGAGTCCATCCACTGGATTTGCCATTCTTCTCTGGTTGGGAGTGTTTCTTCCTTCCATCTCTGGGCTAATAGCATCTGGGCGGCTGTTGTCGCATACAGGAACAGTTTCCTCTGGTCATTTGGGATCTCCGTACCGATAATTCCTAAAAGGCTGAAGGAAGCAAGAAGAAAAAAGGGAGGAAATAAAGGCACATTTCAGGTCTGTCTCAGCCCCCCCCAATAAAAAAATTAAAGGAAAAACAAACTGGATGTACATTTCCAAAATATAAGATAAAAAACAAATAAAATAAAACCTACACACAGCAACTGTGTTTTGTGTTGTGTAGGCTCCTATGATGTAAGTCATGGGCCCCGCCTGCTCCCTCAAATATCACTGGTTTGCTCCTTTCTATATATAGGGTGCCTACATTCTGCATGGACTTTTCAACAATTACTTTGATAAAATACATATTTTGTTATGTGCAAATGGCTTGAGATACCGATTAGGTCCATCGATGATCAAATAGCAGATATTGAACACACAAAAAACAGCGCCCATTTGTTGTTGACAAAGGACAGCTGGACATATCAAGGGCCCCATGACTTTCAATAGCTTAGAGCCTCATCCAGCTGAAATCTGGCCTGCCGATGGCCATCCAACTTCTCTTTAAATACTTCCAAGGAAGGAGATCCCACCACCTCTTGAGGGAGACTGTTCCACTGCCAAACAGCTTTTACTGTCGGAAAGTTTTTTTCCGGGCTATTTAGTCGGCATCTCCTTGCTTGCAACTTGAAGCCCTGAGTTCGAGTCCTACCACCCAGAGCAGGAGAGCACAAGCTCCCTCCCTCTTCCATGCCACCAAACACTGGAAATTCTTTTTTTCCCCGCCCAAAGACAGTTATTGCAACAATTTTAAGAAAACGCGCGTGCACGTCGCTTGCCAGGCGAAGCGGGCGCGCGCGCGGCGCGTTCCCAGGACACAGGGGCCTCTGCGCGTGCGCAGAGAGACGAGCAACCTGTCTCGCCTCCTCCTCTCCGGCAGAGGGCGCTCTCCCTCCGCGCCCACCCCTCTTCCGGAAGGAACTCTCGCGCGCCGGGCCGCGTTTCCGGCCGGGCCCTTTTCAGCGGCGGAGCCAAGATGGCGGCGCCCAGGCTGGCCTAACGTGCTGGGCGAGGGGAGGGCGGTCGGCGGGCCATGGCGGCGGCGAAGGCGACGGCGGGCGCCGGTCGGACGGTGCTGGTGCGGGGCCTGCCGCCCTCGGCCTGCGCCGCCGAGCTGGAGAGGGAGTTCGGCCGGGCGGGGCCGGTGCGGCGGGCGGTGGCCGTGACGGAGCCCGGTGAGCGGGGACGGGGGGGGGGCGGCCGGGCGGGAGGGAGGGAAGGGGCGCTTCCACCCCCGCCCTCCCTCTGAGGTGGGGCTGGGGGGCTGGGCTAGATGACCCCGGGGGGACCCTTGTTCTAGGCAGTGCTTTGGGGTTACTCTCATTTTCCTCTTCCTCTTGAAATACTGCCTCTCAATGAGGCCAAACTTAAATTCACAAAATGTTGAGGGGTACGTGCACCCCGGTGTCCCTCCAGAAAAAAAACATTATTATTATTATTATTATTATTAACCACTGTCAACAGCACCACCAGTCAGTACTATCACTGGATCATGGAGCCCACCTGGCACCAGAACGAGCCCCCCCCCCCAACAAGGCATCTTTCCTGGCAGTTGTTGTTGTGGAGTCATTTAGTGGTGTCCGCCTCTTCGTGACCCCCTGGACCAGAGCACGCCAGGCCCTCCTGTCTTCTGCTGCCTCCTGCAGTTTGGTCAAACTCATGCTGGTAGCTTGGAGAACACTATTCATGACCCCTGCGTCTCCCCCCCAGAAAAAAGCACTGATTATTATTATTATTATTATTAACCACTGGCACCACCACCAGTCAGGACCACCTGTGCATCACGGAGTCCACCTGGCACCAGAATGAGCCTCCCCAACAAGGCGTCTTTCTTGGCTGTGCTGCACATTGCAGCTTTTCAGATTACGAACGTGGCAAAGTGTTTACTTCCGTGTTTGCTGCACATGCAGACGCAGAAGTGGCATATCACACTTCATGAATGCGCAGTAGCAGCACTATGTTTATGGACTTTTCGGGGTGCGAACGGCACTCCGAAACGGATCACGTTCGTAAGTAGAGGTACCACTGTAGAGCCAGTTGGCATAAGGTTGCAATGGCATCTCCTTCAAATGTCACATCTTTCTTCGTATGAATCTATGCTTAAAGTATTTTGTATGGTTCCGGTTATCTACCTAACCGCCACCCCAAGCCTTTTTCTTGAATTACAGGGTGGGTGGAGTGACATGGCTTTCCCTATCTTATATGTGATATTTGTTCGCTAGCCAAGTTGCTGACCTTTGCTCTATGTTTTTTTTTATTATTATTATTTGGAAAGACACCTTGAGTTCCTTGCAGCAAGAAAATGAGTTTAATAAGCTTAGCCCGTCATAATAATATTAATATGCCTTTAAATCTGTTGGATAGGCAAGAAAACCTGTCGTGGGTTTGGCTTTGTCACTTTCTCCTTGCCGGAAGATGCTCAGAGAGCCATCCAGGAGATCACTAACTTTGGGAAACGCAAGATCACGGTAGCCCTGGCTAATCCGAAGCCACGGCAGAAAGGAAAGAAGAAAGAAGGTAAGTTCAAGGTCTCTTTTTTTTGTGGGGTGCCAGGATTTTCTGTGCGCTGCTGTCGACACTTAGCACCAGTTTTGCTGAACACAGTTAGAAAGACGGAAGAGGCTTGTGTTTGGTCCCACATGACCTGCGCTGCCTTCGAGGCTTCCAGCACCCTTTCTGACATGTTCTTCTAGTCCAGAAGATGGGTTTTGATTTCCTTACAGTACACAATTTCAAGACATTACCAATAAATTTAAAAAATGATAAATTGTCCAGTAGCACCTTAGAGACCAATACATTCGCAGTTATACCTCTGCAGTGGAACAAACCGCCTCTACAGCCAGCAGGGAAGTGGCCACTTAACAGGCTAGTGGAAAAGAGAAAGGATTCCTGTCAGGTGGACTGAGGTAGGAGGGATGCAGCCACCTGCCTCCACTCCAATAACCTGCTTGTTTCCTGTGCTGGCTATGAAGGAATTGGCCCCCCCGCCCCCCAACCAGCAGAGCAACCAGGTGAGCTGGGATGGAAGGGTCCATTCACTGCCACTTCATGGCCTGTATGGGATTCCTAGACAGCTGTGGCTACCAGGCAAGTTCTTAAAATACAAATCTGGGCTATATGTATGAAGAGGAGGACTGTTGGTGGAGCTGGCAGAGGAGCCGAATGTTCCTTGCCTTCACTCGCCTCTCCAGCAGCGCCTTTACGCTTTGCCTGTCCTGCCTGGCTGCTTGTAAAGGGAGAAGATGCCTTGTCTGCTGGAGTTTCTCTCCTGCTCCAAACAAAATAAAAAAATTCCTTCCAGTAGCAACTTAGAGACCAACTAAGTTTGTTATTGGTATGAGCTTTCATGTGCATGCACACATCGTCAGATACCTCTTCTGATACATGCACACGTATCTGAAAAAGTGTGCATGCACACAAGCTCATACCAATTATAAACTTAGCTGGTCTCTAAGGTGCTACTGGAAGGAATTTTTTTATTTTGTTTCGACTACGGCAGACCAGCACGGCTACCTACCTGTAACTCTCCTGCTCCAGGCATGGTGGCGGGGTTCTTCAGCTGCGTCTCACGGGCTTTTGACAGGAGGTTCTCGTAAGCACATCAGAAGAGTCTGGCTGCTGGATCAGACCAAAGGGGGTCATATCCAGTTGCAGAAGAAAATAATCTTCCCACCTGCTCAAGACCCTGTTGAGCAAGACAAGGCAGTTGTGTTGGAGAAGACCTCCACCAGCCAGACTCTCTTCTGAGCTGATCCATAGACTGTTCAGCTTACATACAGAAGTTAATGTCTTTTGTAGGTATGGCAAGGTTCTCACACCTGGTTAATAAGAAACCACAATAAATAAACGGCTCGGGACCACAATACCTCAAGGACCGCCTCCTTCCATATGAACCTACCCAGACCCTGAGATCATCTTCTGAGGCCCTTCTTCGTGTGCCTCCTCCTTGAGAGGTCCGGCGGGTGGCAACACGAGAACAGGGCCTTCTCTGCAGTGGCTCCCTGTCTGTGGAATGCTCTCCCTAGGGAAGTTCGCCTGGCGCCTTCATTACACACCTTTATGCACCAGGCGAAAACGTTCCTTTTTAACCAGGCCTTTGGTTGATCTGATTGACATCCAATACCCTTTTAGAATGTGGCTCTTTTGGGTTTCTTTTATTGGGTTCTTGTTTTTAATTTGATTTTATATATTATGATTTTGTTTGTGAACCGCCCTGAAACCTGCGGGTATAGGGCGGTGTACAAATCCAATTAATAATAATAATAAGTAGTTTTGTGGGGAGAACACAGGGAAGCAGGATTGCTAGTCAAAAACCCTCACACTTTCCATACTTCCTTCACCCTTTCGTGCTGACTCTGTAAGAGAGACGTGGCCTTAAGATATATATATATATTTTAATAATATTTATTAAAAGTTTAAAAATTACAAAAAAAAGAAAAAAGACAACAATAAAAAAGGAAAAAAAACATAGAAAAGCAATACAACAATACAGCAAAAAGAAACAAGAAAAAAACTAAAACACACATCCAATATTCCATATCTTTACCTTCCCTTTGCTTGTTTCATCGACCTCCTCACACCTCCCTTTTTTTGTATTGTAGTTCAATTCACTATTTCAGCAAATTCTTCCCATCTACGTGGCCTTAAGATAGAAGCAAGCTCAGTCCTATTACAGTCCCCGGTCCTTGCAGACCCCAGACCCATCCAGCCCAGCCTCCTGTTCTCAGACTGACCAACCAGATGCTTAGGCCCATGGGATGCTTGTGGGTGTGACCTGAGCGCATCAGCACTTGTGCCTAGTGATGATTCCTCCGCTGTGTTCTTAGTGTGCCATTGTCCTTGCCGTGTCCCATTTGCTTTGGTTCCAGGTGCCTCTGAGGCCCCCCAGCGAGGGAAGAAGCCCCCAAAGGCAAAAGGAGCCTCGAAAAAAGCCAGGCTGATCATTCGCAATCTGAGCTTCAAGGTACGAGCCAAAGGCAGGGGAGTCGCCTGCTTCTTTGATGGGGCTGGGGCTCTCTTTCTGAGCCACCCACATTCTTTCCTTGGAACGAGGCCGTTAAAAGTGGGCTGGCAGGGTTAATATTTCACAGCACTCCTGTTTGAGATTCAGAGCGCTGACGTAGTGCTGTTTCGCGGAATCGTAGAGTTGGAAAGGGCACCCCAGGGCCATCTAGTCCAACTCCCCAAGAGATGGCCATCCAGCTGTTCATTTCTTAGCAGCTTTTTGGTGTAAATCAGTCTTTAACCTCAGCAGTAACATCTAGACCATGGGAGTGTTTCAGCCCTGTTCTTGAGTTTGTTTAAAATCTAAAACAGCTTATCTTGTATTCCTTTCTTTGAATTTTGCCATTTAGGTTTTTTAAACCTTTTTGTAAAGGCAACACTAAAATTTTCACAGCTGAGTCCTCAACTCTTTATTACTGTGCTTGGCTTTCTTCAAGTTGGGCTGTGTCTAAAACTTGCTAATTAGGTTTTCAAACCTTTTTTGTAAATTCAGTTTTAGAAACTGTACCTTTGAGTCCTCATTCCTTTATTACTGTGCTTCGCTTCACCTAGGTCGAGCTAGGATTATAACACTTCAGAATGTTTGGGAGTTTTATCCCCTTTCTTTGAATTTGGTCATTTAAGGTTTATGATTTCTCTATTTGCTTCTGAGGAAACTGAATAGTCCAGTGAAACGAGGTTTGTAGCCATCATCCCGTTAAGGCCTTGCTCAATTCTAGGTTTTTCTAATTTTTCCCTTAAACTTTTTGATTTTTATTATTTAGTTTATTTCTATAAGATAATATTTCTAGTCGATTACTTCTCGTTTCAGGGATTTTCATGGTATTTCATTTGTTTTGTGTAATTTGGTGTAAATCACAGCTGAGCGCTCCATTTAATGGAGCAGTAATAGGAGCCCCAAGCCCCGCTTTTGGATTTCCCACCAGAGAGCACAGTCTCCTCACAGAACATTGGAGCAGCAGCCCAGATCCTTCCTAAGACTTGGGGTTTTTGAAAAATACACAATGCACTGTGATGACTTCTGCCATTGGTCTTGTTTCTTCTCTCCTTAGTGCACAGAAGATGACCTGAAGGCTGCGTTCTCTCAGTTTGGCACAGTGCTGGAAATTACCATCCCCAAGAAACCAGGTATGGCCAGGTGGCCTGGTGGGAAAGGTCCGGTGGGGCGCTACTGGGGGAGAAAGGTAGCATTCCATTTAAACTGCACACCTGTCCTGGATTATCCCAAGCCATTCATGGATCACTGCGTTCCCCTTTGGAACTAGCAATCGGAGATAGGAACACTGACTGGCTCATGTTTCTGCTGTCCGCCGTCTTCAGCTGAAGAATGAAGTCCCACCTGGCTTCTTGGTTATGGCTCTGGCTGCTCCTCTTGTCTCCCTATAAGTGGAATCCCATGCGCAGGCTACAAATATTTTTTAAAAATAGTCAGAATTAAGTTGCTTTCCTGTCGCTTCCAGATGGAAAGATGCGTGGCTTTGCCTTTGTGCAGTTCAAGAACGTCCTGGAAGCAGGGAAGGCCCTGAAGGGGATGAACATGAAGGAGATCAAGGGTGAGTCTGACGCTTTCTTAAAAGGAGCCTGGTGATTTGAGCTCCTCTCTGTGTGTTTATGTCGGATGGGAGCTGCCTGTGCATAGGGTCAGGCAAGATAACACTTGTTCATCTATTGCTCTTGATATCCCACCTTTTTCTGCAAGGAGATGTGAATCTCCACAACAACCCTGTGAGGTAGGTCAGGCTGAGATTCAGCGACTGGCCCAAAGTCACACCCAGCCAGCTTCATGGCCGAGCGGAAGGGATTTGAACCCTGGTCTCCCGGGTCCTAGTCTGACGCTCTCCCCACTTCCCACCACTGACTCTCTTGCTGGTCCTTTTGTGCTGGGAATGCTGGAACATCCGCAGGAGAGTTGAATATGCGGGGTGTTCAGGCAGTGGGGCTGACTGACTTCGGCTCTCCTCTGCACATGCACAGACACCATGACTTTTCATTTCATAAAATTTGCACACCACTTGACTGTTTATAAAAAAAAAGCCCTCAAAGTGGTTTACAAAAATATGAAACACGAAAAAAATTGACGTGGGGATTGCAACCCTCCTTTAAAACATAGGAAAGTTAAAATACTAAAACGGATTAAAATTACCTCCATTTTCTAAGCATCTGGACAGGCCCGTCTAAACAATTTTAGCAGGTGCTGGAAAATTGTACAGCGAAGGCTGGTGTCAAGAGGCAGGGAGTTCCAGAGGGTAGGGGCTGCCACACTAAACAGTTGAGTTCTTACGAATGGGAAGCAGGTATCATGTGGCACCTACAGCAGTGGCAGTTCCTCAGATGGAATCAGTCCCTGGGATTTGTAGCTGCGCTGCTCCCTCGCCAAGCCAGCCTTAGAGCTCTCGCCCTGACCTAGCCACTGTGATCCACGCGACGCTCACCTCCAGACTGGATTATTGTATCTCGCTCTACGTGGGGCTGCCCTTGAGACTGACCCAGAAACTCCAGCGGGTGCAGAATGCCGCGGCGAGACTCCTTACGGGGTCCTTGCTACTTACGGGGTCCTCGCTGCGAGATCACATTCACCCAGTGCTATACCAGCTGCACTGGATCCCGGTGGAGTACAGGATCAGGTTTAAGGTGCTGGTTTTAACCTTTAAAGCCCTATACGGCCTAGGACCCTCGTACCTACGGGACCGCCTCTCCTGATATGTCCCACAGAGGAACTTACGGTCTTCAAACAAAAACATCTTGAAGGTCCTAGGCCACAGAGAGGTTAGGCTGGCCTCAACTAGAGCCAGGGCTTTTTCGGCTGTGGCTCCAATCTGGTGGAACACTCTGTCACAAGAGACCAGGGCCCTGCGAGACTTGACATCCTTCCGCAGGGCCTTTGGCCAGGGCACAGCCTGACTCCCTCCTTCGGCAATCTTCACGGAGCTCTGGCCCAATGGTTGCCAGTGGTTTAATTTGAATTAATTTTATAAGGAATGATTTTGGAGTGTTGTGTTGTGTTGTACTGTTGTACTGTTTTATTGTTGTTAGCCGCCCTGATCCTGGCTTCGGCTGGGGAGGGTGGGATATAAATAAAATTTATTTATTGTTATTATTTTCCTCCGCAGAGCGCCCGGTGGCCGTGGACTGGGCCGTGGCCCGGGAGAAGTACCAAGCGATGCAGGCAGCGGCATCGCCAGCAGGTGAGTGGCTCCGGGGCACGAGTCATCCTGCTCTGGGCATCTCAGGCAGGTGGGTGAAATGGCCCGGTCTTGACCTCAGGCCAACCAGCTGAGAGTGGCAGGGGGAGATTGAGAACATTTATCCCGAGTCTTTGTAGTCAGGCAATTGCCTGTGTGAGACTGTCTGGTTCTGAGAGCAGAGCTGACCTTCAGAAGCAACAGACCCCCCTCCCTGCCCAGCAAGCATGGAAGGGGAGTGCCCTCTTGCTTATTCATTTCATAAATGTATTTTTAAAGGCATTTTTAATCTTTTGTTAGAAGCCGCCCAGAATGGCTGGGGAAACCCAGCCAGATGGATGGGGTAGAAATAATAAATTGGGGTAGAAATAATAAATTATTATTATTGTTATTGTTATTATTATTATTCATAATGTGTATGCACTCGTTGATTCTTTTTTTAAAAAAAAACCATCAAAGCAGATAAAAGAATAAAATCATCATTGAAAAAATAACGGCAATCATTTACGACTTTAGATGAGCTGAAATGACAGTAGACAAAAAACAAGTTAAAATTCACACCAGATTTCTAAGCATCCGGGTGGGCTTGTCTAAACAAGAACGTTTCCAGCAAGCGCTGAAAAGAGTGCAGTATGACAAGAGGCAGGGAGTTCCAAAGTGAAGGCAGAGCCACACTAAAGGCTTGAGTTCCTACTAAACACAGAACGGATTTTACGTGGCACTTGGAACAGGGCCAGTTCTGTGAATGGGAGCGGTCTGGAGGCAGCCCTGTTTAGGGAAGCTTTTAATGTTTAACAGACTATTATATTTTAATATTTTGTTGGAAGCTGCCCAGAGTGGCTGGGGAAACCCAGCACATGGGCGGGGTATAAATAATAAAATAGTATTATTATTATTATTAATAATAATAATAATAATAATAGTTGTGTGTCTCTGGGTCAGGTGATCTCACGGGTCCCACGTTGCGAAGGACCTTACAGACTAATAGTAAGCCCTTGACGTTGGTCTGGTAGCCACTGGGCAACCAGGACAGATCTCTGGGCATCGGAAGCGCCATGTTCCGACAGGGTCTTTCTTCTGCCAGCCGTTCTGCCCTTAGAAAGCCTCCTCCTTCTGTTCCAATTCCTGCCCAGTCAAGGCTTTGCAGGTGTGGCTCCTTCGTCTGGACTCCCGTTTCTTTGTCCTGTGGCCCATTTGGGATCTGGCTGCGGGGACCTCCCTGGCATGGCTTTTCGCGAGAACCCAAGATGCCCCCTCTGGCTCAGGCCAAAGGGGGCCCATCTGCTCCAGCTTCCCGTTCTCCCAGGGACCAACCGGGTGCCTATTATGGGAAGCCAGCAAGCAGGACTCAGCAAGGGCGAGATTTGCCAGGATTAATAGGTGAAGCTAGAAATGGGCTTCTTCCTTGAGAGACACTGGGCAGAGGCGTCTCACCCTCCTGCTTCTTTGCCTCTCTCCCCCAACCAGGGGTCGAGGAGAAGAAGAAGCCAAGCCAGGCCCAGCAAGCGGACACAACTGAGGCTGGCGACGACGACGACGACGATCTGGAAGACGAAAGTTCAGAGCCTGCTAAGCCAGCAAGGCAGGGCAGGTGAGCTCAAGGGGTTTGCTCCGGAGGACCCAGGACGGGCTCACTCTGCTGCTGACGGGGGGATCGGGGGGGGGCACACTAAGCCGCCCTCTGTGCCACCCTAAGAGGAACAGCTATGTGGAGTTATTGTATGTCACATGCCTGTTTACATTCCAGCACAGCCTGCTGGGAACTTCCCTTGTGTATAGCTTTTGCTTATGCTTTTTGCTTGGACACGAAGGGGAGCAGACATGTTTTTCCTTTGTCCTGATGCTGAATAAACTGCTTGTAAATACGCTTGACATATGCCTCTCTCTGCCCTTCCGTTGCAAAGAGTTCTTATCTCTGCTGGCTTGCATGCTCAGCTTCTGAAGCTCTGAGTCGCAGTTTGATGCAGAACCAAGGACCGGAGTTCGCCCCGCTGCCGGCCGGTGGGCTGGGGCCTGCCAATTGCCCCCATTTCCTTGGACGCAGCCCAACACCAAATTCCTGCTCTCTCTCTGCCAGCAGGCAGCGGCAGGGCTGCCTCTGGCTTCCTCCCTCTGCCCAAATCCAGCCAGCTCCGAGATTCCAGAACCCCAGAGTTAAGCCCTTTGGGAGCAGAGTTCAGCTGCCTGCTTCTGACCGCTCTTTCCTTGCGTGATTTCGCGGACAGGTACTTTGAGCAGCTCGCTCCACCGCCTGCAGATAGCGAGGAGGAGGAGGAGGAGGAGGAAGAGCAAGAGACGCAGGACTCCGATGAGGAAGAGGGGGAGCCTGGCAAAGCCATGAGCTCTGATGAGGAGGAGGAGGAAGAAGATGACGACGACGAGGAAGATGAAGAAGGTTGGTTTTGCCATTTCTGAGGGGTTGGATGCCAGGGCAGGTGGCAAACCCTTAAAAAGCTGGCGCCAGGAGAGACCTGTTGGGTCTGGTTAAAAAATCAATTTCAACCCAGTATTTCTCTTTCCGAAAGCTGCCAGCCCCCGCGTGAAATTTCATGGCCTCTGCTGGGAACTTGGCCCTCCTCCGCCTTGGACTTTGGAGACTGGGCACTGCCACCTTGCCCAGTGAGAGCGGCATCATAATAATATTTACCAAAGATTCCTGCATTGCTGAGGGTTGGACTGGATGACCCTCGGGGTCCCTTCCAACCATTCTGTGGCCTGCTCTTGCCTTTGGAGAACACCTTGCTCATGATTTCCCTCTCCCCGGTCTGCTCCCGTTCCAGAAGCTGGCGTCCCTTCGAAGCGGAAAAAAGTCCAGAAGCTCCCATCAGACGTCACCGAAGGAAGGACCGTCTTCATCAGGTGGGCGGAGGCCATGGGCACAGCATCGCCTTGGGAGAGACGCCAGGAGGCCTGCTGCCCTGCTCTTTCTGCATCCTCACGGGGCTTAGAGAACCCTGCTCCAGCGTACATTTATGGCTGTTTCTCCTTACTACTTTTTAAGCTGATTAGCTGCCTATCATCTGAACGTCTCCAAGTGACTCACAGCAAAATATCTATCTGTAGACATCTGTAATACCATATGGGAAGGAAGGGAAAACGGGATGGGGTCATTCCATGCATCAATATATCGTTTAACATTCTGCATTGCGGGGGGTTGGAATAACATTGATGCTAACCCTTAGGATCTTAACATTCTCAACAAGTGCAAATATTTATCTTTTCCTAAAAATCAACACAAGTTTAACAAGTGTCAGGTTTGTTCAGCAGCAATCATGTGAGTGCTTCCGTGGTTGATACTAGCCCTTAAGATCTTAATATTCTCAACAGGTAAAAAGGGTGTTATTGGGTTGTTACTTTTATTTTGATTATATATATATTGTGGTTTTTATGTTGATCTTTTCTGCAAACAGCCCTGAGACCTCTGGGTATAGGGCGGAATATACCGTATTTTTCACTCTATAAGACTCATTTTTCCCTCCTAAAAAGTAAGGGGGAATGTGTGTGCATCTTATGGAGAGAATGCAGGCTGCGCGGCTAAGCCAGAAGCCAGAACAGCGAGAGGGATCGCTACGCAGTGCTCCCTCTTGCTGTTCTAGCTTCTGGCTTCGCCATGCGAAGCCTCTTCGGGGCACGGGGAGCCTTCATCCTGCTGCCCTGTGGAGGCTTCGCGCGGCTCTTGCTGGCTTTTGCGGGAGCTGGGGGAAGGGACTCCACCTCCTGGAAAAGCCCGCAAGAGCTGTACTCCCTTTAAAGAGCCGCGCTGAGCGTGTGGTCGGCTCTTGGGGGCTTTTCCCTGAGGAGGAAAAGTCTGCAAGCGCCGCACACGTGCTCCTCACTGCTTCTGAAAGGGAGCGCTGAGCAGAGCCTGGGATGCATGCATGCTCTGCTCAGCGCTCCCTTAAAAGAATATATTTTTTTCTTGCATTCCCCCTCTAAAAACTAGGTCCGTCTTATGGAGCGAAAAAATACAGTAAATTCAATAAAAAACAACAACAATATTTTCATATTTATCATTATCATGAAATCAAAAGCATGTTGTTGTTTTTTATCCCGTGCAAAGGCTTTTTGCCAGTCCGCCCTTGCTGGGGGCCCCTGGACATGTTTTTCCACTGGGACCCAAACCCGCTCTTGTTGTCCCTGGGTGTGGGGCGCATCTTCACGTGCCCCCTGCTTCCCCCCTAGGAATTTGTCCTTCGACAGCGAGGAGGAGGAGCTGGGGGAGCTGCTGGAGCAGTTTGGAGATCTGAAGTACGTGCGGATCGTGCTTCACCCGGACACGGAGCACTCCAAAGGTAATGGGGGTGAGACCGGGGGGGGGGGGCGGGTTGGAGGGGAGGGGGGCAGACTGAGCCAGAATAATTTTGTATTAGGCGGGGAGGGGCGGAGTCCTCGGAGACCTGAGTTCAGATCCCGCCTCAAAAGTAGCAACTAAAAAATATCTCTTTTTTTGTCCTTCAGGGGGTGTCTGTATTATATCTGTTTACATAAACATTGTTGGGGTTGCATCATTCTCCTTATTTTGACCTTTATTTTTGCCAAGAACACATTCGCACAATAACTGTGTTTTATATAAGAGGCCACTACCATCATGAACTATACAGCACTGAGGGGGTAATTTTCTGGTATTAGAAAAGGTGTGGAAATTGAGCGTGTGCCAAATAATGGCCTCTCCTTCCTGGGAGGTTTTTAAGCAGAGGCTGGGTAGCCGTCTGTCAGGGATGCTTTAGCTGAGATGCCTATTTAATTAAATCCAACGCAGATATATTTCTTCCTTTCTTGGCCGTTACTATTGAGAAATGTCCAAGAATCATTGCTTACGTAATCTGTTACACACTTCGATGGTATGTACAGCCTCTGTATCTTCTAATGTTTGATAATGCTTAATAATGTATGAACTCTGTTTTTTTTTTGTTTTTTTTTTAAAATAATTTTTTATTAAGGTTTTAAACAAAGAAAAAAGAAAAACAACACACACAAAAAACAATACAAAACTTAACAATAAAAACGAAACATAACAATTAAAAACAAACTCTCTTTTCCATTTCCAATTTTAGATTACTTATTTTCTGGACTTCCTCATAACTCCTTTTTTTGTATTCCAATCTACATTATTTGTCCAGCAGTTTCTTTTCCACTTTTTTAATCCCAATCTTTAATTTAATAAAATGTTAAAATATATAACTTCAGCTGTTTTAAACCTAATCCTTGCTCTTAATGTCATATAGCTTTAAATTTTTCCCTTTTATTATCAAATTTCCAACTCTGTTTTTAGTCACGATGTGACAGATTTATATTTGTAGTTTCTACATATCAAATATTAAACCTTGTATTTGCTTTTAATGTTTAATATATTACTGTATTTTAATATTCTGTTGGAAGCCGCCAAGAGTGGCTGGGGAAACCCAGCCAGATGGGCAGGGTATAAATAATAAATTATTATTGTTATTATTATTATTAAGCGTTCATATTTATATTATGTAGAACTATTAACAGCTGAAAAGGGACACGGGTGGCGCTGTGGGTTAAACCACAGATCTAGGACCTGCCGATCAGAAGGTCAGTGGTTTGAATCCCCGCGACGGGGTGAGCTCCCGTTGCTCGGCCCCTGCTCCTGCCAACCTAGCAGTTCGAAACCATGTCAAAATGCAAGTAGATAAATAGGTACTACTCCGGCGGGAAGGTAAATGGCATTTCCGTGCGCTGTTCTGGTTCGCCAGAAGCTGCTGTCATGCTGGCCACATGACCCGGAAGCTGTACGCTGGCTCCCTTGGCCAATAAAGTGAGATGAGCGCCGCAACCCCAGAGTTGGCCATGACAGGACCTAATGGTCAGGGGTCCCTTTACCTTTACCTTTATTAACAGCTGAGGAAGCCCTTTGGGGTGAAACAAGGAAATATCCAGAAACCTTGTTCTGCCCTCTCCCCTACCCAGCTGCCAGAGCCAGCCTGCCTGTGTCTGCTACCCATGCTAGCCAACCTCATCAGCTGTATTGCCCGTGACATTCCGGGTACCTTTCCTTAACCACATTCAAGGACTGTGTAATATATGAACTCAAAGAAGAATGTATGAAGAAAGGAAGAAATATATCTGCCTTGGATTTAATTAAATAGGTTATATACCTTGCTTAAGGATTGTATAAGTTGTTCATCCTGGACTTGATTCGTATGATAGGAAGGAACTAGTAAAGACATTTGTTAGAAACATGACCACGAAGCCTGTCGCACTCTATACAGTCATACCTCGGGTTACAGCCGCTTCAGGTTGAGTTTTTTCAGGTTACGGACGCGCCGAAACCCGGAAGTACCAGAACGGGTTACTTCTGAGTTTTGGCGGTCGCGCATGCGCAGAAGCACTAAATCGCACTGTGTACAGAAGCGCCAAATCACAACCCGTGCTTGCGCAGACGCGCCACTGTGGGTTGTGAATGTGCATCCCACACGGATCACATTCGCAACCCGAGCGTCCACTGTATGCTGTAACTATTGCATCTGTGTAACAAGGTACAGTGGTACCCCGATTGTGAACGGGATCCGTTCCGGAGGACTGTTTGCAACCTGAAAAGAAAGCAACTCACATCTGCATGTACGCTGGTTGCAATTTGCCACTTCTGCGCATGCGTGTGACATCATTTTGAACATCTGCGCATGTGCGAGCGGCGAAACCTGAAAGTAACCCTTTCTGGTACTTCCGGGTCACCGCAGGATGCAACCTGGAAAAACGGAGCCTAAAGTGGTTTAACCCGAGGTATGACTGTATTAAGGGACACGGGTAGTGCTGTGGGTTAAACCACAGAGCCTAGGGCTTGCCGATCAGAAGGTTGGTGGTTCAAATCCCTGCAACAGGGTGAGCTCCCGTTGCTCGGTCCCTGCACCTGCCAACCTAGCAGTTCAAAAGCATGTCAAAGTGCAAGTAGATAAATAGGTACCACTCCGGCGGGAAGGTAAACGGCATTTCTGTGCACTGCTCTGGTTCACCAGAAGCAGCTTAGTCACACTGGCCACATGATCCGGAAACTGTACGCCGGCTCCCTCGGCCAGTAAAGCGAGATGAGCGCTGCAACCCCAGAGTCGTCTGTGACTGAACCTAACGGTCAGGGGTCCCTTTACCTATGACTGTATTTGTTTAGCTGAGATTCCTGCATTCCTTGAGGTCCCTCCCAAGTCTACAGTTCTAGGATGCCATGGGTCACTGTAAGACAGCTTCCTAAACATGCCTCTCTGCTCCCCACTCCCCCAAATCCCACCACCAGGCTGTGCCTTTGCCCAGTTCCTGTCCCAGGAAGCTGCCCAGAAGTGCCTTCAAGTGGCTCAGGATGAGAGCGAGGTGAGAGTTTCCGGCAGGGTGGGAGCGTGGTAGTTTCTTCTGCCTCCACCGGGACTGGCTCGGCCTGTCTCTGGCAGCGCCCGTGGGTGCCCCTTCCTTGCCTCCCTGCCTCTCACTGTCTCTCCTTCTCCCCGGAAGGGTGGGGGGCTGCACCTGGGGGGCCGCCGCCTGCGAGTGGACCTGGCCGTCAGCCGGGAGGAAGCCCAGCAGTTGCGGAGCCAGAAGACGAAGAAACCCACCGGCACCCGGAACTTGTACCTGGCGCGCGAAGGCCGTGAGTGCAAAGGAGGCGGCTGGGCGGGGCTGGATTCACCTGGGCTCACCTTGCCTTGTGTGCAGGGCGACGGGGGCGTGTTCATTCCCATGTGGAAGGGGCTTGAGGTGGCGGCAGGCTCTCCTTCCTTGGAGGTTTTTAAGCAGAGGTTGGGTGGCCCTGTGTCGGGGTTCTTTAGCCACGATTCCTGCATTGCAAGGGGTTGGGCTAGATGACCTGTGAGGGTCCCTTCCCAGTCTGTGATTCTGTCCTGCTTTTCAATGCTCTTCTTTCCTCTGCAGTGATCCGTGCTGGCACAAAAGCCGCCGAGGGGATGAGCGAGGCTGACCTGGCCAAGAGGGCACGGGTAAGTTCTCTCTCTCTCTCTCTCTCTCTCTCTCTCTCTGTGTGTGTGTGTGTGTTTCTGTGTCTGTTGTTGTTGTTGTTTAGTCGTTTAGTCGTGTCCGACTCTTTGTGACCCCCTGGACCAGAGCACGCCAGGCACTCCTGTCTTCCTCTGCCTCCCGCAGTTTGGTCAAACTCATGCTGGTCGCTTCGAGAACACTGTCCCACCACCTCATCCTCTGTCGTCCCCTTCTCCTTGCGCCCTCCAACTTTCCCAACATCAGGGTCTTTTCCAGGGAGTCTTCTCTTCTCAGGAGGTGGCCAAAGTCTTGGAGCCTCAGCTTCAGGATCTGTCCTTCCAGTGAGCACTCAGGGCTGATTTCCTTCAGAATGGAGAGGTTGGATCTTCTTACAGTCCATGGGACTCTCAAGAGTCTCCTCCAGCACCAGAATTCAAAAGCATCCATCCTTCGGATATCAGCCTTCTTTATGGTCCAGCACTCACTTCCATACATCACTACTGGGTGTCTGTGTCTAGCCCAGCCTTTCTCAAGCTTGGGATTACAACTCCTATCATCTCTGACCACTGGTCCTGCTTGCAAGGGCTGATGGGAGTTGTAGGCCCACATCTGGGGACCCAAGGCTGAGAAAGGCTGGCCTAGAAGCTAGACATGGCTGCAAGCTTTCCCTCCTTAAGGATGCCAGAAGACCCCTGCTGGGCCAGGTCAAGGGGGGTCTGCTGAATCTAGCCCATGGGTAGGCCAACTAAGGCCCGGGGGCCGGATGCGGCCCAATCGCCTTCTCAATCTGGCCCGCAGACGGTCCAGGAATCAGCGTGTTTTTACATGAGTAGAATGTGAGCTTTTATTTAAAATGCATCTCTGGGTTATTTATGGGGCATAGGAATTTGTTCATTTCCACCCTCCAAAAAATGCGCCCCCCCACAAGGTCTGAGGGACAGTGGACCGGCCCCCTGCTGAAAAAGACCCCTGATCTAGCCTGTCTCTGATGGACAGGATCCCTCTGCTGCTTATGAATCCCTGCCCCTCGCACACAGGGCCCCCCTGAGGCCCCAGACTCTCCACGTAGCAAGAGGACATCGTTGTGTAGTTGTGGAGAGCCAAAAATTTTGCCGAATCTCTCTCTTTCTTTCTTTCTTTTTTCCTGTTTATTTCCCACATGATCCCTGTTCTGCATTTGTTTACTGTGGCAGCCCTTACAACTCTGGAACTCCTTGCCTGTTGAGACGCAGAAGGCGACTTCACTGTCTTCTTTTCAGCTCTTGCTAAAACCATTCTTGTTTAGGAAAACCTGCCCAGTTGCTTAGGAAGTTGACGGGAGTTAAATTTTTAAAAAACTATTTTAAACTTTTGTATTCTTTACACAGTTCTTGATTTTATTGTTTTATCCTTTTTTTAACCGCTTTGAGTGGCGTTTTTTTTTAACACTCAAACAGCATACGAACTTTATGAATCACACGCTGTTTGACTGTAAAAAAACAACAAGCCTCGAAGCAATTTACGAAACAATAGAAGTCTAGAAAAGTTTGCAACATACAGAAAGTTACAGCCACTAGATAACAGACTAAAACAAATCAAAATCCCCGCACACTTTCTAAACATCTGGGTGAGCTCCTCTAAACACAAATGTTTTGAGCAGGCCCTGGAAAGTGTTTGGTACCTGATATCAATTGGCAGGGAGTTCCAAAGTGTAGATGGAGTTCTTGCCAACATGGAATGGCTATTAAGTGGCAGCACCCGTTCCTTAAGTCGAAGTGGTCCAGAGATTGTCTATGGGACAAGGCGATCTCGTGGTCCCAGGTCGTTGAGGTCTTTGCACGCTCCTTGGCCTGCTAGAAAATCGGCAAGGTGTCCGTCAGCAATTGGCAGCAGCATCCTGCATGCACTGCAGCTTCTGGCTCAAGTGCGAAGGAAGTCCCACATAGAGCGCATTGCAGGAATCCTGTTGTGAAGTAACCGACGCATGAACTCCTGCAGTTGAGCTCAGAGTTGGGGTGCGGGACGAGGTGCTGCTTGAGAGATCTGCGATTCCTGCATCGCAGGGGGTCAGAATAGATGATCGTCAGGGATCCCTTCCCACCTGGCAGTTCTGTGATTCTGTGAAAGAAGAAGAATAATTTATTATTTATACCCTGCCCATCTGACTGCGTTTCCCCAGCCACTCTGGGCGGCTCCCAACAGAATATTAAAAACACACTAAAACTTCAAACATTAAAAACTTCTCCAAACAGGGCTGCCTTCAGATGTCTTCTAAAAGTCAGATAGTTGTCTATTTCCAGGGCGGGTACCACTACCAAGAAGGCCCTGTGCCTGGTTTCCTGTAACCTCACTTCTAGCAGAGAGGTCCTCTGCGCTGGACCTCAGTGTCTGGGCAGAACAATGGGGTGGAGACGCTCCTTCAGGTATACTGGGCTGAGGCCGTGTAGGGCTTTCAAGGTCAGCACCAACACTTTGAATGGGGCTGGGAAACATCCTGGGAGCCAATGTAGGTCTTTCCAGACCAGTGGTGTTATGTGGTCTTGGCGGCCGCTCCCAGTCACCAGTCTAGCTGCCACATTCTGGATTAGGTGTAGTTTCCAGGTCACCTTCCAAGGTAGCCCCATGGAGAGCGCATGGCAGTAGTCCAAGCGGGAGATAACCAGAGCATGCACCACTATGGCGAGACAGTCTGCGGGCAGGGAGGGTCTCATCCTGCGTCCCAGATGGAGCTGGTAGACAGCCGCCCTGTATGCAGTTGCAATCAAAATTCATTCAACCCCCCAGGTTTCTTATCAAAATTTACAGACCTTCAGCTGTTTGCAATGAGCAAATCAAACAAAAGCCCGTGAAATAGCTCAGCTACCTAACACAAAGGACGCGGGAGATCACCTGCAGAAGCAGGGGAGTCTTCCAGGCAGAGCGGTGGGCTGGCTTTCTCCCCTTGCCCCCCGCCATCCTGCCTGCCTGCTCCGCCTCGCAAGGCTGTGTTGACCCCTCCTTTTCCCTCCCCCAGTTTGAGGAGCTGAAGCGTCACAAGCTGAAGGACCAGAACATCTTCGTGTCTCAGACCAGGCTCTGCGTCCACAACCTGCCCAAAGGCGTCGACGACGTCCGGCTCCGGAAGCTGATGCTTCAGGCGGCCAAGGGAAGCCCCGGCGTCCGGCTCAAGGAGGTGAGCCTGCCTCTCAGCGCAGCCCACCCCGCAGGGGGGTGGCAGGGATTAAGCGGGGAGGGGTGGCAGGGAACCAGCATCGCCACCCTGGAGGAAAAGCTGGGGATGAAATGACAAAACGGCTCCCGTCACTCAGATCTCCTGCCAAGAACCACCTGTTGAGCTTCTGGCTTCATCCTCGTCACGGACGCTTGAGCTGAGATTCCTGTCTTGGACTCAGGGTGGACTTGATTTAAAGCAAATTGATTTAAATCTCGACTTAATTCACTAGTCAGTAAGACTTGATTTAAATCACTAGTCCGTAAGACTTGATTTAAATGATTTTTTAACGGAAAGATTCGTTCCTGCTGGTATAATCTTAATATTTACAACCAGACGAAGGTTTCATTTTTGGAATAATAAATGTTCAGGGTAGTTATTACAGTTATATCAAAAACCACTGGTTTGGTTGTACTATTAAGAAACACATAGACAGATAATTATGAAATTATTGTGAGGTTTAATAAGTTAACCGTTTATATCTGGACAACTTTCTGCTGTACTTTATTGGAAGGAGAAAAATAATCATTTCCTTAATAACAGTTTAAACAATTTATTTAACTAAAACAATAACATTATAGCATATGTACCCATGCTTGTTAACTGATGTGGTTAAACTTTTTTTTTTTTAAAAAAAAGAAAACAGACTTGAGTTTTAGCCCACATGAAAAACCTAAAATAAATCCTTATTTCCTGATGAATAGCCTTTGGACTATCATGTAACTTAAATAGAAAATCTTTAGAAAGGTTTTTCCTCCAAAAGCATTTTATTTTGAAAATCCAACTTAAATAAAAAAAAATCTGATTTAAATGAAAAATTCTGATTATTTTTTTTTTTAAAACCCATTGATTTTTATCCACCCGGGTTGGACTAGATGACCCTTGGTTCCCTTCCAGTTCTGCGATTCTCTCTCTCTCTTTCTCTCCAGTGCCGTGTGATGCGGGACCTGAAGGCGCCCGCTGGGAAGGGGAAGGGCCAGTCGCTGGGCTATGCCTTTGTGGAGTTCCAGGAACACGAGCAGGCCCTGGCTGCCCTGCGACACCTCAACAACAACCCCCAGGTCTTTGGGGACCAGAAGGTAAGGTTCCTCCCCTCCCCGTTCCTTCCAGACGGGGCACCGGAAAGAGGTGGGGCAGACTCACAGGGGAGAGGGCTATAGAATATCAGTTTCTGGAGCGCGTTGCTAGTTTCCCTTGGGGGCACCTGGCTGCCCCCGTGAGAGCATTGGGCCCGACTCACCTGGTCTTCTCAGGCTGCCCTTTCTCCCCGCAGCGTCCCATCGTGGAATTCTCCCTGGAGGACCGCCGGAAGTTGAAGCTGAAGGAGCAGCGAGCCCAGCGCAGCCTGGTAGGAATAATAAGAATAAGAATACTCCACCCATCTGGCTGAGGAGCAGGAGGTACCCTAGAACCCTGCAGAGTTGGAGGGGACTAGATGACCCTCGGGGGTCCCTTCCAACTCTACGGTTCTACGATTCTTGGAATATTGCAAACGGCTCTGTGATCGTGATGCAAGATTTTGTTTTCATTTCACTTCCGTTTGTATACTGCCTTTCTATATTACTTTGCGTAAGGCAGTCTGCAAGCTGAGGAAACAACGAAATAGGCAGCAGAGATCGCAAAACGTCTGTTCCAGGTGTAAAAATAGTCATACTGTAATCACAACTTTGAAATAAGCAACTTACCTCAAATAAGGCAATATTCAATAATCCATAATAATAATAAACGGTAAAGAACCATCACATAATAATTAAACAGTTTACACTTAACAGTTACAATAAAGAATTACCAAACTATAATAAAAAATAATAATGGGTGAGGGGGATATTTGGTATTTGAAAGAGAAGTGGGTGCCCTCCCTCGCTGAGCTCCCTTGGGGTCCTGCAGTGGGGCAAACCTTCCCTGTCCCCCCCCCTTTTCTCCTGTGCAGCAAAAGCTGAGGCAGAAGCAGCCCCCCGAGGAGGTGGCCGGCAAGCAGCCCAACGCCAGCACCTCCGAAAAGCCGGCCAGAAGGCGGAAGAAGAAGCCCCCCAAGGCCAAAGAAGCGGAGGGGGCTTCTCAGGGGCACGAGGACCCGCCAGAGCCCCCCGAGAAGAAGCCCAGGGTCTCCCCGGCAGCCAAGCAGCAGCGTCTGGAAGCCCCCCGGCCGGCGGAGGGGGCCGTACCCTGGGCGGGTTTCCAGACGCGGGCGGAAGTGGAACAGGTGGAGCTGCCGGACGGCAGGAAGCGACGCAAAGTCCTGCCTCTGCCCTCCAAACGGGGGCCCAAGATCAGGTAACAGCCAAAACAAGAAGGGGGGGGGAGTATATGAGCCTATGGGGGGGGGAAGCAGGGCGCTGCCGCCACCACCCACAGACATCCCCCTGCTCTGTGTCAAGGCCTCAGGACTCGCCTGCCTGCCCCCTGCCTCAGTTTCCCTTCCGTCTTTGCCCTTCTCTCCCCCCCCCCCCGTTTCCAGGAGTTTTCCCGCTACGGGAGCACAGAGAAAGGGCCATGTTCCATCATGTGCATCCTTTCGGGGGGGGCATGTCCCCGTGGGGGGCAGGGCAAGGTGGAGAAGTGGGCGGAGCAATGGGGGCAGTTCTGGCACGGAGGGGGGGGCATTCTGGCCACTTGGAAAGCGGCGGTTTTTGCAGCCCTTTCCTTCCGGGCAAGGAAGAAGCGCCATCCCAGTTGTGGGATGTGTTGCAGCCGGGCGAGGGCGCTGGAGGGAGAGGGTCTCTGGGGGGGGGCGCATTTGGCCCCTGCGCTCCAGGATCCCCACAGGGCAGGGTCTGGTCAGGGGGCTACCCAGAGCCTGTCTCCCTGGGGGTGTGGTGTGCATTGAAGGGGGAGAGGGAGCTGGAGGGGAGTTGGGAAGGTGTTCCTGGCGGGGGGTGAATCAGCAGCCCCCTCTGGGGTCCTGGGTCTCCCCCGGATCAGGGAGAGCAGCCGTGGCCAGGTCTCTCCCTCCGTCTGCTGAGCTGCGTCTCTCTCTTGGCAGGAAGCGGGACAAGGGAAGAGTGAAGCCCCCCACAAAGAAGATGGCCCCCTCTGGCCCAACGCGCAGGCAGGAGAAGATCAGCCAGGGGCCCAAGCAGGTCAGTCGGTTGTGGGGAAATGGGGGGGGCGGCCTCTTTCATGCCAACAGCCAAGGGTTGGTCAAGATTTACAGGACTGCCTCTCCTGGTCTGCCCTGCAGAGGACCTTAAGGTCCATGAATAATCATAGTTTAGAGGTCCCAGGCCCTAAGGAAGTCAGACTATCCTCCACCAGGGCCAGAGCCTTTTCAGTGATGGCTCCGACCTAGTGGAATGCTCTGTCCCATTAGACCAGGGCTCTGCAGGATTTAACCTCCTTCCGCCGGGCCTGTGAGACAATAAAACAGAAGGGTGTGATGGGTTTTAAGGTAAAGGTAAAGGGACCCCTGACCATTAGGTCCAGTCGTGGCTGACTCTGGGGTTACGGCACTCATCTCGCTTTCTTGGCCGAGGGAGCCGGCGTACAGCTTCTGGGTCATGTGGCCAGCATGAGTAAGCCGCTTCTGGCGAACCAGAGCAGCGCATAGAAATGCCATTTACCTTCCCCCCAGAGCAGTACTTGCACTTTTGAAGTGCTAGGTTGACAGGAGCAGGGACCGAGCAACGGGAGCTCACTCTGTCGTGGGGATTCGAACTGCCGACCTTCTGATCGGCAAGCCCTAGGTTCTGGTTTAATCCACAGCACCACCCGCGTCCCACGTGATGGGTTTTAGGAGCCCCTTAATGCCTGATGGAATCCAGTTAGCTCAGCTGGTTGGAGCGTGGTTGGTGCCGATAATGCCACGGTCGCGGGTTCAGTCCTTGGACTAGATGACCCTCGAGGTCCCTTCCGACGGCAGTTCTACGATTCTGTGAATGGACGGGTCTCTAGGAGGTGATAGAAGCTTGCCTCCGTTTATTCCTTGCAAACAGCACGCAGAAGGGTGTTTTGACCATCAGCCCTGACCTTCCTGAAACCAGCTGAGGGCCCCATGTTCCCCATCCCTGGCTTGAAAGATGAAGCCAGCCAATGGGATTTTTTGGGGAGGGGGCAAGGCAACTTCCGCATGGATCCCCGTAACCCAGAGCTGAAACTGCAAAAATCGGAGAAGCTCTGGAAACCTGGTGGATATGCCTGTCTTCTGACCCATTTGCAGAACCCTAGAATTTTGCAGAGGAGAGGGACCCCGGGGTCCAACCCGCTGCGATGCAGGAAGGTTATGCTGGACAGATTTCTCCTCCCCGGGGAAGGGGGTGCCGGAGATCAAACCTCCTTTGCTGCTTTCCACCGGCTCGCTCCTCCCCTCTCCCCTGCCCCCCGACTTTGCCCGAGTGCCTCTGCCCCCAACCTCCCTGTCCAAACCGTGGGGCGCCCCCTTCCTGACGCAGCTCTCCTCCTCCTTCCTCTCGCAGGCGCCCAGGAAGCAACCTCGGGGGAAGCGCAGCCAGGCGGAGACCCGCTTTGAGCAGCTGGTGGAGCAGTACAAACGCAAGATCCTGGGCGGCGGCGGTGGCAGCAACAAGGCTTCGTCATCAGCCAGGAGGAGCAAATGGTTTGAGGGCTGAGGGAAGCCCTGGGGGAGACCGGGGGGCGGGGGGAGAGGGACGGCTGGCTGGGGCTGAGCCCAAGCAAGGGCAGCGTCCACCCCTCCACCCCCATCTCTGCCATTTCGGACTACTGGACTGTGCAAGGAAGCAGCCAAGAGCCTCCTGAGCTCTCTTTTCAGGGGTGCATAGAGGGGGGGGTCTGGTCCCCAAGGTGCCCCCCCCTTGCTGGCCCAGGCTAGTGGGCAGATTTTTTGGGAAGCGCTTGCAGGACCCAGGATCAGGGAGAGACGCACACACCAGCGGAACAGGGTGAAAATTTGCCCCATATATTTTTGCCATCTCTGACCAAGAGAGGCCCGTGTTGTTATATCGCAAACATTTTTTAATAAAAGAGTTTTATTAAAAATCTACCTTCCCCCCCCCCCCCCAGGAACAGAGGGAATCTCTGGGAACCACCTCCCTCGCTCAGTCCCAGAACAGGGCTGGGGGGAGGCTCTCTGCCCCTCCAGATGTCGCCGGCCCCCCACTGCCCTCCACCTCTGGGCATGGTTGGCTAGCAGGAGGGCATGGGGGCGGCAGGCCACCTCTGGCTTGCTCTCTCTCTCCCCCTCCCCTGATCCCCTCCCAGCCCAAAGTCCTGCTGGGTTTTTTTACTGTTTCACTTTCATTTATTGTAAAACTGCCAACCACATTTGGGGGGGGGGCAGAGAGAAGTTGAGTGGCAGTGTGGTGCAGTGGTCAGAGTAGTTTGACTACAGGGACCTGGTAGAGATCAGGGTTCGAATGCTCCCACTCGGCCGTGCAGCTCCCCAGGTGTGTGACCTTTGCAGGATGAGTGCCGCTCCTGCCTCTCAGCCTCACCTACCTTACAGGGCTGCAGTGGGGATAACGCCTGGGAGCCCCTTGGAAGGAAAAAAGGTGTAATGAATATATAAATGAGCAGCATCTTCCAGTTGGCCCTGGCAGGATCCTTCTCACGCTGGTTGGAGGTCATGTGTGCACGAGATCGAATCCACCCTTGCTCCTTCAGATTTCTCCTGGGATGTCCCAGCAACCCAAGGCCGGGCGTGGTGGAGCGCCAAAATCCTTCCAGCGGTTGCGCGCACGGAAATATTGCCACAAGCGCAACTGCCCATCCCCAAATCTGTTCCTAACAGATGTTTGTGGACTCCAGCTCCCGTCAGCTCCCAGCCAGCACAGCCAGGACCGGCTGTTAGGTATCTCAGGCTTTCTGTATGTGGGGTTCAGGGAAGCCATCGCCACATTCAAAGGGTTTGAGAAATGCAGCTTCTTAAATCCCAGCCCTGCAATGTGCTCTCTGTGGGGCTTCCTGTGCATTTGACCACGAGGCCGCAGGGAGTGCAGGATGCTGCAGCGCAATTGCTGCCAGGAGGGAGGCCTTGCCAGCTGAAAACACCCGTGCTTGCCCCTGGTTGCCCATTTGTTACTCGGCCAAGTTCAAGGTGCTAATAATAATAATAATAATACAGAGGTGCCTCGCAAGACGAAATTAATTCGTTCCGCGAGTTTTGTCGTCTTGCGGTTTTTTTCGTCTTGCGAAGCACGGTGTTGGGAAAGTTTTGGAAAAGCTTCAAAAATCACCAAAGTCTTTAAAAACCTCAAAAAAGGCTACCACACCGCGTTCTATGAGTTCCTCCTCGAAGTCAAGTCACAACTGTATTAACGGTGTTAAGAAAAAGGAAACAAACTTGCAAGACGTTTCCGTCTTGCGAAGCAAGCCCATAGGGAAAATCGTCTTGCGAAGCAGCTCAAAAAACAAAAAACCCTTTTGTCTAGCGAGTTTTTTGTCTTGCGAGGCATTCGTCTTGCGAGGTACCACTGTAATTTATTTATACCCATCTGGCTGAGTTTCTCCAGCCACTCTGGGCGGCTCCCAATCGAGTGTTAAAAACAATGCAGCATTTAATATTAAAAACTTCCCTAAGCACGGCTGCCTTCAGATGTCTTTTAAAAATAAGTGGTTTATTTCCTTGATATCTGATGGGAGGGCGTTCCACAGGGGGGTGCCACTACTCAGAAGGCCCTCTGCCTGGTTCCCTGCGGCCTCGCTTCTTGCAGGGAGGGAACCACCAGAAGGCCCTCGGAGCTGGACCTCAGTGTCCAGGCTGAACGATGGGGGTGGAGACGCTCCTTCAAATATACTGGACCGAGGCTGTTTAGAGCTTTCAAGGTCAGCACCAACCCTTTGAATTGTGCTCGGAAACGTACCACCTTCTTTCCAGACCGGTGGTGTTATGTCGTCTCGGCAGCCGCTCCCAGTCACCAGTCTAGCTGCCGCATTCTGGATTAGTTGCAGTTTCCGGGTCACCTTCAAAGGTAGCCCCACGTAGAGCGCATTGTAGTAGTCCAAGCAGGAGATAACCAGAGCATGCACCACTCTGGAGAGACAGTCTGCAGGCAGGGAGGGTCTCATCTTGCATCCCAGATGGAGCTGGTAGACAGCTGTCCTGTATGCAGTTGCAACTGAAAATTATTCAACCCCCCATTGCAAATCAGGTTTCTTATCAAAATGTACAGTCCTTCCGCTGTTTGCAATGAGCAAATCAAAGCCCTTTAAATAGCTCAGCTGCCCAACACAACGGATGCTTCAAATGGTTCCTCAAATTCACCTGAAATTGCAACTTCTAATGACTTCCACCGTCTCCCTCTCCTGATACCAACCTTTCCCAAAGCCAGGCGTTGGGGGGGTCTCCAAATGGTTCGTTTCCTTGCAGTTCCACAAGGTAGCAGTGCCGCTCTGTCCTTGACCACATTTGGCCAGGACGGATGAGAGAAAGTAACCTCCTTGCCCAGAGGGGAGAGCGTTGCTCTTGTGCTCGGATCCTGACACTGGTTTCCCTTTGGGGCATCTGGTCAGCCACTGTGAGAACAGAATGTTGGACCAGAGGAGCCATGGCCCCGATCCACCGGGCAATCCTTGTGCTCTTAAATTCCACGGTATTTTTTTCTGCCAAGTTCTCAGTGGAGATGTGAATGGCCTTCCTTCCCTGCCAGAGGCAGCTGTGGCTTCCGAGGCTCCTGACTCATTTTCCTTCCTTATTTATTAAAATTCCGTCTTGCCCTCCCTCCCCAAGGAGCCCTGGGCAGCAAAGCAATAAAAACCCATACAGTTAAGAATGAAACACAATTGCAAGCTATTGCAAACATCGGAAAAGCATTTCTGAATGTTAAGAAAGCTGGGTTTAATGCCATGTGGCGCTACGGTCAGTGTGTGGATTTCTGCTCGGATGGACGTTCTCCCCCTCTCCTCCCCCCCCCAAAAAAACCCTGTTCCGGGGTTTTCCCCAACCCCCTGGAGCAGGTTTGGGGAGGGCGTGGGACTCCCATCGCGGAGAGGTGGAAAGTCCCACTGTGCAAATGGGGATCCGTGTGCCGACTTGTTTGTAGGATCCCTACGGTTCTTTAAGTTGGCCTGTCGTACTGGCAGGGCTGGGAGAGTCTGACCAGGAGATCCGAGGGGCAGGTTTGGGGTTTACAAGAGAGGCAGGGCCTGTTTGAATTCACATCACCCTCTGCCTGAAAAACAGCCACGTAGATTTTTGAGGGCAGCCATGCTTTGCTTGCTTCCTGCCTGCCTGTCAGATTTTGAAAATTTGTGCAGAACAGTGGGGTGTCTGCCTAGCAACATAGGGGTTTTTTTTCAGGGTGGGGGTCTCTTCCAGTTCTTGGGTTCCCATATCTGGGGGTACAACAAGCTTTCCCAACCAGTCCCTATGTCTAGGTCAGGCATAGGCAAACTCAGCCCTCCAGATGTTTTGGGACTACAACTCCCATGATCCCTAGCTAACAGGACCAGTGGATGATGGGAGTTGTAGTCCCAAAGCATCTGGAGGGCCGAGTTTGCCTATGTCTGGTCTAGGATATGGCTGACTAGTCAAGCGCCACGATTAGCAGAACTGAAGATGTTGCTCTCTGCCATTGAGCAAAAAGCTGCTAGAGGGAAGACCACAGAACCATAGAATCACAGAATGGTAGAGTCGAAAGGGACCCCAAGAGGGCCTCCAGTCCAACCCCCTGCAATGCAGGAATCTCAGCTCAAGCATCTGTGACAGACGGCTGTCCATCCTCTGCTCTTCCTGGTGTTGAGTTGGAAACCCCTTTCTTGTACCTTGAAGCCATGGGTTCGAGTCCTACCCTCCAGAGCAGGAGAAAGCAAGCTTGCTCCCTCTTCCATGAGACAGCCCTTGAGATATGTGAAGACGGTTATCCTATCTCCTCTCAGTCTCCTCTTCTCCAGGCTAAACGTAACCTTCTCGGGTGGAAGGCATGACTCATCACCTGCTAGCCTGCCCCTTATATAGAGAACCAAGAGATCGCTTTCTGAAAACTTTGTTCACACAAGGAAGCAGGCACACCTGGCAGAAGTTGTTTGGTTTCTTTTGAGAGGCTATAAGAGCTTCACAAACAGTGGCCCTCTATGCACTGGCTGCAAAACAAGCAAACAAAATCAGGAAAAAGGAGTTAGATTAAATCACACTAAGTCGTGGTGATTCATAGGTATAATCTGGAATCAAGCTGGAATTGAGTTTGTTGGTTTCTCTGGTACCTTCTCTTATCTCCTGGTTGTTGGCAAATTGGATTTTAAAATGGCAAAAGAATATTAGAATGGGAGCTATCGGAGACGCACAAAGGAAACTATTTTAATGCTCAGGAATCTGGCAAAGTCTTTTAAATGTTATGGGTTTTTATATTATGGATAGATGTTCTCTATTATTTTATTAATACTATCGCCTAATACAGGTTTGTCATGGCCTTTGGCTGGAGCAATAAACTTTTGAACTTGAAACTTGAACTTGAATTAATACGTTAATCTTTCCTGGGATGGCTCAGCAGGTAGAGCAGGAGACTCTTAACCTCAAGGTCGTGGGTTTGAGCCCCATGTTGGGCAAAAGATCCCTGCACTGCAGGGGGTTAGACTAGAAGACCTTTGGGGTTCCCTTCCAACTCTGCAACTCTTATGAATTCTATGGATGCGAGTCCTTAATCATGTAAAGCTGTGACTTCTGGGCCGTTATGAACCGCAGACGTGAAAGGGAATCTGTCCAGTGGTCCTTAGTGGAACAGATTCAGATATTCTCTCCCCCCCCCCCCCCGCCCTGTATGTGTGAACCACTTGCCTGGTAGCCCTGCGCTTAACACAAAAGGCAAAGTCTCTTTCCCACCTTCGGCTTTCAGAGGGAATGTTCCCCGAGTTGGCGAGGCTCGTTTGACAACAGCCTCCTTCCGTGCCAAGTAAAAGGTAAAGGTAAAGGGACCCCTGACCATTAGGTCCAGTCGTGGCCAACTCTGGGGTTGCGGCGCTCATCTCGCTTTATTGGCCGAGGGAGCCGGCGTACAGCTTCCGGGTCATGTGGCCAGCATGACTAAGCCGCTTCTGGCGAACCAGAGCAGCAGATGGAAACACCGTTTACCTTCCCGCCGGAGCGGTACCTATTTATGTACTGGCACTTTGACGTGCTTTTGAACTGCTAGGTTGGCAGGAGCAGGGACCGAGCAACGGGAGCTCACCCCGTTGCAGGGATTCGAACCACCAACCTTCTGATCGGCAAGTCGTAGGCTCTGTGGTTTAACCCACAGCGCCATCCATGCCAAGTGCTGGGAGCTTTTCCCATTCCTCCAGGACCCACATCTCGCATCTTGGTTTATGGATGCCTGCTTTTCTGCTTTTGAATGGCTTTAAAAAACACTTTCATTTAAAATCTTTGTAAATGTAGTCAGCCGCTTCAGTGTGTTCTGTGATTTAGCGGTACAGAAAGACTTTCATAAATAAGAAATAATAACAACAAAGCGCAGTGGCTTTGCGACAGCTGCTGCTGCTGCTCCCTCTGGTCCTCTGCTGCGAGAAGCCCTTTCCCAGCCAAACTGCCTCCTGGCTGGGCCTCTCCCCCAGCCGCTGTGCCTCCTTGGCGGGTGGCCTGGTGCGTTCCTGGCTTCTCACCTGCCAAGAAGGCGGGGAGAGAGATCCCTGGCCCTGGCCCGGCCTCTGGCACCGTCCCCTCTTGGCAGTGCCAGGTGTGGGAGAGCAGGGTGTCCCGGGAGGTGACGGCCGTCCTTGTCACCCCTGCAGCTGCCAGTGGCACAGGCTTAGCCAGCCCAGTGAGTCGGATGCCTCTTACGCACGAGAGCGCCCCGAGGGGACTGGCACCTTGGGCAGATTTCTGGGAAGGGGCAAGGCCAGCCGCTCTCCCTTGCTGGCGTTATAACTGCAAGCTGATGCAAGAGAAATGCGGGGGGGGGGGGGGAGAGCCCTGACTCACCGGTTCTGATCCTGCTCTTGCTCCTGCATCAGAAGTCAGGGGTGCTGGCATTTGGAGGCACTGTGGTTCTTGAGCATCTATTGCAGAATTATAGAGCTGGAAGGGACCTCCCGGGGCCATCTAGACCAGCCCCCTCCAATGCAGGAGGAACAAGCATTGCTTTAGTTACAGGTGGGTAGCCGTGTTGGTCTGCCGTAGTCGAAACAAAATAAAAAAAAATTCCTTCCAGTAGCACCTTAGAGACCAACTAAGTTTGTTACTGGTATGAGCTTTTGTGTGCATGCACACTTCTTCAGATACATACATAAAGCTTCCCTTTATTCCACTTTGCAGGCCTTACATGAGAGATCTTATGCCCTGGCTCCCATTGTGGGTGGTACAGCCCCCCCCCCCCGGGGGGCGCAGTAGGATTACATAGCGGGTTGCTAACAGCCAAGGGGGCAGCAAGGGGGGCGCTGAAGATGCAAATAAGTACATTGGAACCCAAGGTGAGTGGGCCGGATCAGACCAATGGCCCACCTAGTCTCAGCCCAGTATCCCTGAAGGAGCGTCTCCACCCCCATTGTTCAGCCCGCACACTGATGTCCAGCTCTGAGGGCCTTCTGGTGGTTCCCTCCCTGCGAAAAGTGAAGTTACAGGGAAGCAGGCAGAGGGCCTTCTCAGTGGTGGCGCCCATCCTATCGAACGCCTTCCCACCAGATGTCAAGGAAATAAACCACTATCTGACTTTTAGAAGACATCTGAAGGCAGCCTTGTTTGGGGAATTTTTTAATGTTTGATGTTTTATCGTGCTTTTAATTCTGTTAGGAGCCACCCAGAGTGGCTGGGGAAACCCAGCCGGATGGGCAGGGTATAAATAATGTAGTAGTAGTAGTAGTGGGTTGCGGGTGGCGCTGTGGTCTAAACCACAGAGCCTAGGGCTTGCCAATCAGAAGGTTGGCAGTTCGAATTCCTGTGACGGGGTGAGCTCCCGTTGCTCGGTCCCTGCTCCTGCCCACCTAGCAGTTCAAAAGCACGCCAAAGTGCAAGTAGATAAATAGGTACCACTCCAGCGGGAAGGTAAACGGTGTTTCTGTTCGCTGCTCTTGTTCACCAGAAGCGGCTTAGTCATGCTGGCCACAAGACCCGGAAGCTGTATGCTAGCTCCCTCGGCCAGTAAAGCGAGATGAGCACTGCAACCCCAGAGTCTTCTGTGACTGGGCTTAACTGTCAGGGGTCCCTTTACCTTTACCTTTAGTAGTAGTGGTGGTAGTGGTAGTAGTATCCTGCTTTCACAGTGGCTGACTAGATGCCACAATGGGAAACCCACAAGGAAGACCTGAGAACCAGAACAGTGGCATAGCATGAGGAGGCCCCACAGGGGCGCAAAATTGTTTGGGGCACAAAATTTCAACATCAGGTGTTGCCTCCATACAGCTGTGCTCTTCTGGCTGGTGCTGGGCTCTGTTAAAAACGGCTTATCCATGCAAACCAGGAAGTGACCTCTCCAGGCAACAAAATGACTGTTGGAGGATGATAGATTTCTCCTGCCCACCTCTGCTCTGTCTCTGCAGCTGGAGACAGCTGTGCTTCTGAATCCCAGTTGCTGGAGGGGAGAGTTGCTCTTGTGTTCAAATCCTGCTTGCTGCTTTTTGCAGAGGCGAATGTGCAGAGGAGGTGGTGGCGGAGGAGCGATAGTGGCTTGTTTCGTTCTTGTTTTTATTATGTATTTTGTGTTAACTTGCATTTTTATGCCATGAAGCCCCCTGAGATTTGCAGATGAAGCAGGGTACGCAAGTTCAATAAATAAACTGTTCAGCCACAGTGAGAAAGGGATGCTGACCCACGTGGGCCATTGGCCTTGTCTTGCAGGCTCATCTCATGGGATTTATTCATTTCCTTTTCTGCATGCACTAGATGCCCAGTCACTCTTGCCCTTCCTTCCCGGGGGCCTTTGCTCCTTGACAGAGAGCTCTCTGCCATGCCAAACCCAAACCCCTCTGACCGATCACGTCAACTTCAAATTAACTCCCCAAATTCCAGGGAAACGGTTCTCATCCCGACACACAAACCTACTGCGGTTAAACGGGAGCGCAGTCCCCGAATGCTGACTTGCTGGTCGATCTCCTCCTTGCGTCACGGCTGACGTCAAGCACCTTCGCCATTTCATGCCTCTCGCTTTGCCTCATTAAAATCTCCGTCTCCTGTCTGCCAGGGAAGCTCCCGGAGGCCCTCCCAAACGCTCGCACTGGGCTGGCCTGGGCAACGCAGTCTGGGCCAGGAGCCCAGGATCTGTTTCCTCACCCTGAGGCTGGAAGGGAGCCGTTTTCTCCTTGGCTCAGGCGAGAGCCAAGCTCTGCGTCATGGTGAAATAGGATGAGGGTGACGGGGGCAGGCAGGTTGTCCTAGACCCAGGGCCTGGTGGCCTTGCTGGGACGGGTTGTGGGGGGAGGCTGTAGGCAGCCGTGAGCATTCCTTCCGTTGTGGGGCACAAATGCATTCACATGCCCCTTCTCTCTCTCCCCTCCCCCAATTCCATGCGGTTTCAACCTTCCTCCTATTAGAACAGCTGGCCTGCCCCGATTTAAATTTTGCTCTATTTTTATCATCTTTTGTTTTGCTTGCGAGCTTCCTTCGAGGGGCATCTCCTCGGGAAAGGCGGCCTCGGAATGTTTCAAGGATGCAAAATGAAGATAAGGCTCTTCTCCAAGTGAGGGGCTTCTGCAACCATGAGCGTGCCCAAACGTCACCCTCCGGCCTTGAAACCTCTTGTTTAAAATAAGAAGCAAGGGAATGTGCGGTGGTGGCCAGAGGTATCCGCTACGGAGGTCAGCAGGCCAGGCGGTGACTTGGCGCCGCTTGCCTTTGCCCACGCTGCCTCCTGCTCTCCGAGGGGGTGTCCAGGGACCCTGTAAGCCGTGGGCCTTGACCTCAAAGCCCAGACCTAGCTGCACCTCTGGCTGGGCAGCAGTAACAAGGGGCTGTGACCCCAAGTGCAAATTTATAAGGGGGTGAAACCAAGTCGAGGCCAAAACTGCAGGGAAGCAAGCCATACCCACGCTGGGCCTTTGGGGTGGGAAGTTGCAGCGCCGCCTCCCTGCAGCCGGCCAAGGGATGCCCCCGCATGCTCTGCCTCTGGGCCTGCCGATGAGGGGAGAGCACCACTGCCCCCCCCCCGAGGAGGAAGGGAGGAAGAGGAAGGTGGGAAAGAGCCATGTGCCAGAGCCATGTGCATTGCCCGGAGCGCCTCACTGCAAGGACAGGAGGGTGAGGTGCAGGGCTGTCTTAAGCATATGTGGCGCCGGGGTGCAAAGATCTGCCTGGCGCCGTGCACCCACCAGGTTGCCCAGTCCCAGGCGCGCAGGAGGGCGGAGCTGGCCGGGCGCCTCAGCATCTTGCTGGCTCGGTTGCCCCTGATCTCGTGGCACGGAGCCACCCGCAGCAGAAGAGCCTGCCGTGGCACTCCGATGGGTGGGCTCTTCCGCGGACTCAATTCTCAGGCCCCGGACTCTTGTCCTGGCACCCCTGAGAGCCTGGCACCTGGGTGCCCTGCACCCCTAGCGCTTATGGGTAAGACGGC